ATCTAGTACTAGTATAGACTAGTAGTATCCACTAGTCACGTGATAAAGCGCTAGGCCTAATTAGGCCGTACGCCCAAATAGCGATATTCCACACACCCCCTTAAGCTAGATCTTACCTAGCCTTAGGTAGATCTCAGCTTATATTCATCTATCGAACGGATCGATAGGATAACTCGCTAGTCATATCGATAGATATCGATTATAACTCTTCTATCGAACAGATCGATAGGATATCGCTCGTTATGGTATTCCGCCCACAACTCATCTATCGAACAGATCGATAGGATATCTCGCTAGTTATATCGATAGATATCGATCATAACTCTTCTATCGAACAGATCGATAGGTACTCGTTCGTTATAGCTTTATAGCGGTCTCTATAGCGTTTAGAGCCGCTTCTTTTTCATCCTCATCTTTAGGCTTTTGAGGTAGTCGACATTTCCTAGCGATATAGCCTTTCTTTCCACAGTTATAGCACGTAATAGTGCTTTCTTTCTTCATACTAGTAGTAGTAGCGATTCCTACTAGTTCTCGAGGTTCGTTGACCTTTAATCGTCTTGATTTATCAATTATAGCGTTAAATAGATCGTCTAGATCTATATCTTCGTCCTCGTCGTCTCGGAATTTTGTCGTTATAGCCGCTATAATAGGGCTATATTCGCTCGTAAGGTTATTTAGCGTATAGGCCGCTATGATAGCCTTCGGAATAGGCTTTTTTCGTAAGGCTAACTCGTCCGTAAGGCCTCGAATTCTTAATAAGTAGGTTTCAATCGACCCATTTCTTAATAGAGAGGTATTAAATAGCTCTCTAGCTATTAGGAATTCCGTAGAAAAGCCTTTAGGTGCGTATAGAGTCTCTAGTCGTTTAAAGAGACCTTCAGCGTCATTATCGGAGATAGTAGCGGTTTGAATAAGCGCTGAATCGCCTATATTTAGTCGTATAATCGCTGTAGCTCTTTCGGAATCGTTTTACCTTTTCTTATTATATTCCTCGATATTGTCCTTAGGTGTTCCTTTAGGAAATTCTTTCCTAGGCTTAACTGTATAGCCTAGTTCGTCCTTAGACAGGAGCGCTAGTATTCGAATTCTCCAAATATTCCAATCGTGAGCACCCTGAAGAGGGTTAATCTTCGTAATAATAGCCATCGAGGTTCGTTTATCGATCGGTTTATTCTCGTACAGGCCTATATAGTCGATATATATAGAGGCTTCGGAAGTCTTTCGATACTATACCTAATAGGTAATGGTATCGTTAAGAGCCCTAATCGTTCTAGGTTCTCAATAGTACTAGGCGATAGTACTAGTCGATAATAGTAGTGGCGAAGATTAATCGTAATAGTAGTATAGAGCGCTAGTCCGGGCTCATAACCTATTAGAAGGTCTGAGTGTACAGTCGGAGGAGGTCATTTACTAGATACTAAAAGACTTGAGTTGAGATAACTATCTAGGAGGTAGAAGCGTCCTTATATAGATAATAGGTGGTAATA